ATACCATGCGGTGCTGTTAGTTCTTATATATTATTAATAAATTAAATTAATCTTACTATTATATTTTCCTTATTTATTTTCTATTTTTTACGTTTTTTGCATTTGGCTCGCATTAATCAATCACCTAATTAATAATAAACTTCTAAAATGCTTTATGACTCTAAAATCAGACTATCTCTCAGATTCGCTCATTCGTTGCTATTTAATTCTCCTCATTTAGAGTTTCTGACTCCTCGTTGAGTTCTGCGATGTGGGAACGTGTGAAAACGTTAAAGAAGGAATTTGAGGAACGTACTAATGAGATGAAGAGGAATATCATGAGACAGCAAACTCCGGTTACTTCAGAGGAAGAAGACGAGAAGGAAGATGGTGAGTCTGTTCACATACCATAATTATTTTAGGAATTAGCAAATGAAGACTCTTGTTTAATGCTTAGCTATGCTTCATCTGTTGGCACTTCTCAAAATTACCTTAGAAACTATGTTTATCCAGATCTTCTTCTTCGCTTTAATTTAAATTAATCTTCTCTGGATCCATTCCTTAGATTTTATATGCATTAGCCTGCTATGAAGTTTAAAAATATAATTGAAGAAAAGAATACCAAGATGTTGTGGCCTCTAGTATGGTCGCAGTCTCCATTCGATTTATGGAAATGGGTTGACCTCGTTGTCGTTACTTGGTCTTGTTGTCAGGGCGACTTAGTAGAACGCACCTAGTCTTAAATCGTCTACCATAGTAGTTTTCGCTACCGTAGCTTGGTGCAAGAATGACAAAACTCACTGATAATACCGACTATGATGCCGGTGAAACGTTTTAGAATGTAGCAAGTCCGCTGTCTGATGCTGGGAATCATGGCAACTTTTATGGCAGAAGACTTCGGACTAGGTGCTTTCTACTAAGTCTCTCTGACAACAAGACCAAGTTGCGAAAACGAGGTCAACCCATTTCTTCAAAAATATAGTTGCTAGAAAATATACAGTTAGAAGTGAGGTAGGTAGGAAAACTGGGCTTCAAAGAATCCCTAAATAGATTGATGTTGGGGTACTTTTTATTTCGTTTGAAGAGGTGAGTTTAAGGGATTCGTAGGATGGCCTCACCGGTAGCTGTAAAGGGTTTGTTTTGGAGCTGTGACTGTAGATTTGTGCAAATAGGTCCTCGGCGTATCACACTACAACCTAGAACAAGCCTTCCTCAGCTTTCGTCCATCATATGACGGACATCGTCAGGGCAGGACCCTATGCTTAAAGATAATGTACAAAAACGAGCTTTAAAATGCGGCATAAAATTATATACTTTTAGTAAAATAAAAATATATTTATTACAATTAAATTATGTTATTAAACTTTTTTTAATGAGCCTCAAGTTTATTCACTTTCATAATTAAATAAGCCAATTGCTTGATGTAGTAGACAAACCCTAGTGTTTCGTTTAACTAATAGGAATACATTTTTTACTTTAATAATTTTAGGCTTATTTCTACTATATGAATCACTTTTATCTAAAACTTATCATAGAACCTATACACATAAGGAAATTTAGATATTGCAACGATATAGATGTGGAAAAATTCCCATATTAATTAAGTTATGAAAATATTTTATATCACTCTAAAAAGTATATACATTTATAATAAATTTAACTTAAATTAATATCTTTTAATATTGTCCCCTATTTTTACGCGCAATAAATACAGAATCAAAAAAGCAACCAAATGAAATTTCGCCGACCTTGCCGATGGATTCCAATGAATCTGAAATCCGGCCACGATGGCGGCGATATCCTGGAAGATGCCTGGTTGTTCGCGAGCCACTTCTTCCTGGGCGGATAGCTAAACAACTGCATCCATTTGCCCGTCCGGATGGAAAGTCATGGCTTTCATTAGAACCTTTGTCAGAAATGCCTTCAGCTAGGTCGACAGCAGAAGTTATAAACACCGCCATCAAAGGGACGGCGCCTAATGCACTTGAAATAAAAGATGATCGAGAATCCATTTTTCCGGAATCAGGTCCGCAATTTCGGTCTAAATTTTGCTTTCTATACCCATTGTTTGTCATAGCATTATTAGTTATTATAGGCATAGATGCAACATCACTATTAGTATTAATGATTTTACTAGTATTAACATAAAGTTCTTATAAATCTACATATCGATTTAGCTATTTTGTTGGATTAATCTGTATGGATAAATATGCTATAAGAAGCAAGCTCTAAAATAAGTTTTAAAAATGGGCAAAGATTTATCTGATAAGCTTTAATTTATGTAACATTATAAACAAACGATAGAATGAGGATTATGTCTAGGCTCATATAAACTTAAAAAAGTTGCTAATGATTCATCGACATCTTCATGAGAATATTAAATCTTTGTCTCGAAATAGTGTAGTCCCCGTAGAACAGGTTAGGATAGATTAATTTCGTTAATTCTATTATTGAAAAGTCATCTCTTCGAAAGGAGGGAAGAAGAGATAACGTATAACTTTTGCTACTTCTCATTTGAACGTTTTGGTCATTTAGCTCAAAATAAGTTTACACTCACCTGAATACTCAGAAATTGCATACAGTGGCAATAAAAGTGGAGAATCCTCGTTCTCTTTGGTTACAAGCCTATATTTATTTTATTTTAAATTTTCCACGTAAAGTGAAATCATTTTCATAATTGAATGCCGTAAATATTTGAGCCATATTCCTGTGATATATTACATTGCTCATTCATAGTACTCTAAGAAGTAATTTTATTCTGATAACCCTATTATTTTACCATTCAAAAAATGAAGTCTTACTAATAAATATTTTCTATTTCAAGTTATATAGACTTTGGGTAAAAGCTAAAAAAAACAAGTGTTATGAATTTATCACAATTCCGATATTCGTAATTATTTAGTTCCTCATTTTATAATTAATCTTTACTTCAGCATTGTAAGCTATTGGCAACATATAAAAATGTAAAGGTACATAAATATAAAGATAGTTTACAGTATTTATTATAGGCATCGTGCTTATTA